TTAATACATCCTCTTGTCCCAATCAAAGGAACATTTGGGAACTCTACACAACTATAGACAATTTCTTTTATGTTTAGTTTTCTAGCATACCACAAGACAGAATCAACACTAAGAGCCCTTAACTTTTGAGACCATTCATTTTTGGTCAAATCCTTGACCATGTAATTTTCTTTGTAGAGATGAGTAATGAGCCAAGAGTATAATAGAGGAATGCAACAAAGTAGCACACCTATCCCTTTTTCATAATGCGTATGAAGGGAGTAATACACATCAACAAATAAAGTAGGAGTAGGATCAACATTTAAAACTTGACGGGCCAAAATACATTAATGGCCGCAAAATCTATATAGTCCACCGTATTTGGAAACAAAATCAAACCAAAGATAAGCAAAGCCAAACAATCTCCACAAGCCTCCCATTCTTTCTTATCAGCAAAAGAAAGAGCCTTAGATTCTAAGTATTGTCTTTCGATACCTTGTACTTCACCATCCTTTTTGTAGTTGAGCACTAGGTCAGTGAAGGGTATCCCTAATTATTTAGCCAAGTCTCAGACTTTGATGGTATTCCCAATTCCTATGTAAGCTTTATCATTGATTTAAGAGAATCTCAAAATCCTATCAAATTCTTTCAAAGTAGGTGTCAATTGAATTTTTTTGAAAGTGAAACACCTTAGTCGAGAGCCATAGAATTGAGCCAGGACAGTAATAGCTTCCATTTGCACAATCATTTTGATCAAATCCATAATATCTCCATAGCAATGAACAAAACCCTTGGTAACTTTTTCAGGTAATTTCCCTCTAATCAGCTTCATTTTCTTGATATCTGACATTATAGCACTGATGCAGATGGTCGATTTCTTATTCGTATTCATTTTGAGATGCTCACCAAAAACCTTTCTTTTTTGTATTATTTTTTCCAAGGAAATCCTATGAACAAGACATAAAAAATGCAAGAAATGAATATTTTTTAATGCAAGATGTATGTATGCATGGTGATATAATTTGTGGTGGTATGATAAGGGTATTCCTTAGTGGGTAGGTTCATAGATTCGTTCTATAGATATTCTACCCTCCCATAAGGGTGGCTTCCTTAAGGGTATCATCACTATTACAAAATACACAAACAACAATGATATAATTACGACACATCCATATACACCGTAGTAATAAGTTAAAATTTTCGTGCCCAGTGAGTTGTTAGATTTATTAATGACAGTTGATTTTAAATACCGTAGTAAAAAACGATGTGTAACACGCTTCGATTCCCAGCAACCACATTTTTTTCTATTTTTTAGAGTATATTAAGCGTGTCACCTATTTCCATTATATAAAAAATAAATTATAAATGATTTAACAACGGTGAATACATCAACTGTTGTTATAAGACTTAAGTTTCCACTACGGTTGCTTTGTCCAACCGCGATTAAAGGGTTTACTGATAAATTAAAATAAAACTTATTTCGTATTTCTTTCATAAGATGTCCTAGGTGAACAAGCGAGCAAGAGACGACAATGGTGACTCAAATCTTCGTATCCATTCATTTGGAGCTCAAATCTTCACCCTCTTTGTCCATTTAATTTTTCAGTTTCACAGTACGATACTCTTCAACATCTTCATTCGTTTTTTCTTAATTTATGTTGTATATGCTCAAATCTTCACCCTGTTCATTCATTTAACCTCGAGTCAACCTAAATAAAAAAACAAAAATACAAAATTAAAAAGTGTAATTAAACACCCCCCTCCCCCTCTCCTCAACTTAACTTCTCCTAAAGTTAGACAATATAAATGTTAGTGGAAAAATATAATTTAAAAAAAAAATATAATAACACAAAATTAATAGAAAAATGTCTAAATAAAATAAATTGACCATTAATATTAAAGCAGACAAATTTGAAGTATGACACGTTGTGAAACCATATTTTTCATAAATTTTATTATAATTGTCATATTTATAAGAAAATAATTTATCTAAAATAATTATCACTTTAATTTTTAATATTATTTAAATATTTACTTCTTCTACTTTTTTATTATAATTTGTTTTTGAATTTTATTCGATGTATTAGATATAATCAATACATATTATTTATTAAATGAATTAAAAAACTTTATATATATATATATATATATATATATATATATATATATATATATATATATATATATATATATATATATATATATATATATATATATATATATATATATATATATATATATATATATATATATATATATATATATATATATATATATATATATATATATATATATATATATATATATATATAATTTAACTTATTCTATTTATGATTTTTTTAAAAATGAAATAGTCAAATACAACAAATATTTATGAAAATTCAAGGAAGGACCAAATTGGCTTCCATGCGTTCGACCATTTATTAAATTGTTTTTCATTCCAACCATATATAAAATGCACCGGTACTATCAATTAACTACAACGACTCATTTATTAGAAAATTTTACTTTTTTACAATCACATATAAAGTAATACAAATGGTTGTGATGAATGGATGATGTAAAAAAGTTTTACGGTGATAATGTAAATAATTAATTTTTTTATTATGAATTTAATTAAAATATATTGACATTTTACATTGTCAATTAATTACAACCACGAATTTATTAATTTTTTTTTTTACTTTTATTACAATCATATGTAAAGTAATACAAATGGATGATTGAGATGGATTCATAGTGTAGAAGGTTTTACACTGAAAATACATAATAATTAATTTTTTTAATTATAAATTTAATTAAAATATATTGACAATATAAAAATATTTTATATTATTAATTAATTATATTCACTGCTTTGTTAAAAAATTGATTTTTATTACAATCACATGTAAAATAGCAAAAATAAATGATTGTGATGGATTAATAGTGTAAAAAAACAATTAATCTCTTTTAATATAAATATAATTGAAATACACTGACACTCTTCGATAATTACAATCACTTATTTGTTAGAAAATTTTGACTTCTATTAAAGTAGGACAAATAAATAGTTGTGATGAATCGATGGTGTAAAAACTTTTGTAAATATACTTTATACTATCAGTTAATTACAAGCAAGAGTGATTTGTTAGAAAATTTTGATTTTTATTACAATATGTAAAGTAACACAAACATATGATTCTGATCGATTAATGGTATAATTTTTTTTACACTTTATACAAACTAATCTCTTTTACTATGAATTTAATTAAAATGAACTAATATCGTAAAAATACTTCACACTATCGATTAATTACAACAATTATTTGTTAATTTTTTTAATTTAATTATAATCTCATATAAAGTAACACAAACAGGTGATTGTGATGAATTAATGGAGTAAAAATATATTGATAATGTATAACAATTAATTGCTTTTAATATAAATTTAATTGAAATGCATTAACAATATAAAAATATTTTACAATGTCAATTAATGACAATCACTTATTTATTAGAAATTTTTGACTTTTATTACAATCACATGTAAAATAACATAAACAAATGATTTTAATAGATTGATGATGTAAAAAAGTTTACATTAATAGTATATAATAATTAATCTCTTTAATATATATATATATATATATATATATATATATATATATATATATATATATATATATATATATATATATATATATATATATATATATATATATATATATATATATATATATATATATATATATATATATATATTACTCTTTGATATTTTAAATAATTTAAGAAAATCGAATATTTATTGTTGTTTGTAATACTATATTGTTTTGTATCCGGTATTAACTTTCTTAACCATTTATTATTTTATTTAATATATATTTTTATATAAATATTTAAAAATATTATAAACAAATTTATAATTAATATTATATTGTACATTAAAAATGTCTAATAAATGAAAAGAGAGTGATTCAGTATGCATTGTAAATATACTTTATAAAAAAATGTGTGAAAGTATTTTACATACACTCAATAAATTATGACTTATATTTATAATGAATATGTTGTCATATGTCTAAAAAAAAGATAAGTCATTTGTTCAAGCTTGTTATTAAATTATATGACTCATTAAAATTATCTTCACTCCATTCTTATTTATATGTCTTTTTAAGACATTTAGACGCATTAACAAAATTAATAATATAATTAATTTATATAATTTGAGTACAAATATTAGAAAATATCTTGTGTGTAAAAATAAAGTAAATATTGACTTTATCAATCCAGTGCAATATAATAATATTAATAAAAAGTATACTTTAAAAAATAATAATAAATATACTTAAATTTCTAAAACGTTAAGATAAATGTTCATAAAATATATTATAATCAAGGACTGAGAGAATATACTATAACATTTTTATACTAATATTATAATAAATTAAATCCACATATATATAAACTTACCTTGGTTCTTTAGTTCATATCAGAGTGTAGAGGCTTATTTGATTTTCTCAGGTCAGTTGTTGGTTTTCCATAAAATCTCTCTAACTTGTTTGTCTTTGTATTTTCAGGATAGTTCACCTTTGATATTCACAAGCTCTTGTTGTTTGAACCAATCTGAGTGACTATTGTCAAAAAAAATTCAACATGCCTTCAATTGCATAATCTATTATTTAAAACTTGTTAAAGGTGTGAATATATGTCTTAATATATCTTGAATTTAGTTTACTTTGTTTGTAAAATATTGTATTGATTGAAAATTTTAGAAGATAAAATTTATTTCCTTGGTATATTCTCAGTCTATTTATGTATATCTTGCTTGACCAATTGATTTTTTTTCCTGAGCATAAACTCTTTAACTAGTTTTTATTTGAATATATGAATCTATCATAACATTTACTTCCTTTTTTGTTTGAGCTATTTATTATTGAATTTTATGTGCAAGATTCTAATAAACTCTTCAATTGATTTGTTTTTTATTTATGTACAATAATCTAACAAGGATATATGAATTTGAAATATAATCATTAAGAATGGAATCAAAAATCAAGAATTACTTGGAAAATGTTGAAGGATTCATGGATTATACACGCAAGAGAACAAGAGGTGTTTCTGAAGATGTTGATGAAACTAATAGGGTGAGATTGTGTCTTCCTTTTTAATTCTGCCTCTCATCATAAATATTTATATTTCTGATTAATATATTTATCACAATTTCCAGCCAAATGCTACAGTTTCGAATTCCTCTAACACCACACAACATATTTTCAATGATACTCTCAACAAGCTTATGATGTTTAGTGACTATTACATGGACTCCATAAGCAATACTCACAAAGATTACAAAGGTAAGGAGATCATCTCAAGTCCAAGTTCTGGAACTGCATCTCATGCATCTGGTTTTAGCTTTCTAAAATTACTCGCTTCGGTGGAAAACCAAAGCCTGAAGAAGAAGACTAGTGACATGAATATGGGAAGGCAAGAAATGGTAGCCACAATTGCAAACAGTGATGAGGCTGTAGTTCAGCCTAAGCTTTTACTTTGTGGTCACTTCGAGCTTCCCATTGTGAGACAGAAGATGAGTGGAGGTAGTAATGATGCTGGTAGTTCCATGGAGAATCTTATTAAGATAAATGATTGAAGAATTTTGTTAATTTTCAATAAATGTTATGGTTTTGATCATAATAATGTATGTTATTGGTCTTATTTTTTTATTGAAAAGTACAATTGGTTTGGATTTTGATAAGTTTAATAATTGTCATGGTTTTTTCTAATTAATTTTATAAAACATAATAATTAATTAGAATTGTGAGTAATAATTGTTGGAAATCCACCAAAAGACTATGATGAATTTCTACCACAATGACGATTAGTTATGAGAAAAATAAAGAAAAGAAGACAAGACAATTATTTCTGCAGAGTTCCTCTCTGCTTACAAACTGTGAAAACTTTATTATTCACTTTGCAACTGCAAAATACTGTGAATGACTTGTTTGACTTGCTTACAAAAATAGGGGTTACTCTCTCTATTTATAACTGAGCTTACACCCTAAGCTCAAAGCCCAAAATATCTTTTTGTTACTAAATCAAATCTAATTTATTCTAGACTTAAATCAAATCAATTTAAATCTAAAACAAATCAAATCTTTTCGACACATAGTTTCGACACATTGAATTACAATTTAACACACCACCTAATTCAGGCCTTTGAGATACCTTAGTATCCTCTTCACTGCTTCTAGATGTGATACCTTTGGCTTCTGCATGAATCTACTTACCATACCTACAATATATGCTAAGTCAGACCTTGTATGACAAAGGTATCTCAATGATCCAATAAGTCTTCTGTATTGGGTTAGATCAACATCATCTTCATCTGCATCTTTCGACAGTTGCAGCCTTGGTTTTGCAGTTGTCGAAGTTGAGTTGCATTCTTCCATCTCAAACCTCTTGAGAATTTCTCCTGCATATCTTCTTTGATGCATCATCAAACCTCTACTGCTCTTGTAGAATTCGATACCAAGGAAATATGAAATCTCACCCAAATCATACATTTCGAATTCCTTGCTAAGATCACCTTTGAAATCTTCGATCTCACTTTTACAGCTACCTGTTATCAACAAATCATCTACATAGAGACATAGTATAAGAAATTTACTCTTGCTTCTTCTTACATATACTCCATGTTCAGTTGTGCACTTCACAAATTCCTTCTCCCTTAGAAAACTATCAATTTTCTTATTCCAAGCCCTTGGATCTTGTTTCAATCCATACAAGGCTTTATGTAGCCTGTACACCTTTCTTTCTTCGTCATGTTTCACAAACCCAACTGATTGTTTAACATAGACTTCTTCATCTAAGGGTCCATTTAGGAATGCACACTTCACGTCCATCTGACATATGTGCCAACTGTTTATTTCTGCTAGACCAATAACCAACCTGATTGTTTCGATCCTAGCAACAGGTGCAAAAACTTCATCGAAGTCTATTCCTTCTTTCTGTAGAAATCCTTTCGCCACAAGTCTTGCTTTGTGTCGAGTTACTTCACCTTTCGAATTCGTTTTCACTTTGTATACCCACTTGACATCAATTTCCTTCTTGCCTTGAGGCAATTTGACAAGTGACCAAGTATTGTTGTCTTCGATAGACTTTACTTCTTCGTTCATTGCTTTCACCCACTTCGAATCCTTTAATGCTTCAGCTGCATTAACAGGTTCGCCATCTGCATAGAAAGTATAATGTACCAGCTCACCTTCATTATCTATTACACCATCTGATGTAATCACACAATCTTGCAATCTTGCAGGCATACGTCTTGTTCTTTGAGGCCTGCTTGTACTTGGTATATTTGCTGGTTCCTCTTGTCGAACTTCTCTTTCAACTTGAGTTTCTGGCTCTTCAAGAAGGATTCCCACTGAATCTTTTTTGATATTTTCAGTCCAATCCCATTTTTTAAACTCATCTATGATCACATCCCTGCTGATCACAATCTTCTTTTTCACTGGATCGAACAACTTGTAGCCTCCTGTTGAATGATATCTGTGATCGGTGGATCTGGAACTGACTATTTAACGCTGGTTCGCGAAATTTCGCGGAAGCAAGAGTCGCCACCGTCTTTTATTTTCTCCAAATGGAAAGGACAAAAGCACAGAAAAATTCCTTAAAGAGATTGCTCTCGGTTCGGGAGGTAGGTTATAGAAAGGGAAGGTGTTAGCACCCTTTCTATCCATGGTTATCCATGGGCTCTTAGATACTTGCTCATTTGTGTTTTCAAAAATGTTTGTTTGCTTTTCAACTGTGGGCTTTAAAAAGTTTCTTTGAAAATTTCAGTTCGACTCTTGTATCGGTCCTCAAGAGTGTTTGAAAAATTGCTTTTGAAAGCTTTTGAAAATGTGTCGGTGTGAAAAGTATTTTTGAATTTGTTTTGAAATTAGAGCAAGTATCTACGAGAACCTACCTACCCTAAGGAATTCGTCTGTGTAAATGTCCTTAAAAGTAGTGCCATCCCACCATTGAGAGGTAGGTAGCACCACCGTTGGAGGTGTTCGGGTCAATTCGGGGTTCGGGACATGGTGATCACCAGAGCAATGGGAAGACACCTTAGAAGCTACCCTCATGCCGGGTTCCTGGATCATGAGGACTTACTAAGACATCCTCTACTCGACGATCACCTTTCGAAGGCAAGGCAACAGTGAGGCGTACCCTAGGGGTGGTGTGTGCGATTTGTGGCCTTAAAGCGCATGTGAACTTTTATTGAAAAATAATATTGGGATATTGAAGACATGGGGCTCGAACCCAGGTCATGTGCTTTGCCACCGTTAAGCCTTGCCAGCTGAACCAATTGCGCGTGTTGTATATATAACAACGAATAAATAATAAAAATAAAAAATGGTTAGTGGCATGAAAAACATAAAAAAAACGCGTGCTGATTTAAAGAGACCAATCATGGCTGGCCACGCATTCATCTTCTTCATGGGATTTTATTTTCCTGAAACGAAAGAAACATAGGCAACGGTTTTGGATGTGTTCTCTTAGGTATGTTTTGAGAAAATAGCGAATAGGTCCCCTTGGCATATAAATTCAGCGCGAGCATGCCATTATTTTCGTCCAAGCGAGCCGGTCTTGTTCATGGTACTGAGGACTCCTAATTTTACAGCATGTAAAAACGCCTAAATCGAAAGCTTGGTAACCCTAGAAAACAACAATGGTGGAATCACGTGTGGTGTATAAAAATACAATTGAATATGTTGGTTAGCTTCAGAATCATTCAAGGAATAAGAATCAATAATTGAAATGCCATAAAAATGCATAGATTTCAAAGTACGATAATGAATTTTTCATGAAATATCTTGAATTCTGTATACCGATTCCTTGAGTTTTGATGGTTGTCTTTGATTGGAATATGTCCAGTGAACCTTCAGTAAGCTAATGGAATAAGAATTATGCCTTGAATCGCCCTAAAAAGTGGTTTTCAGATTTGAGTTTTTTGGCAAAATTTTCAAGTTGTGAATGGAGTTTTCTGAGCAGCTGCGTGTGTGTTATGATTAGGGTTGTCTTTTGGCTTTTGTATTGAGTCCATTAGGTCAAAAAAAGTAGAACAAATCCAATGCATTCGTTGATTTTGAAAATTTGATTTTCAATATCTTTTTTTCAATCTTTTCCATGTGTTTTTTGTTCTCAATCATACCAATCAATCCAAATCTTTCCATGTTGGGATATGCACGAATTATTGATGATATAATGTGCACAAAAAGATTGAAAAAATTAGGTTAGACATTTTTCATATATTTAATTTGATTTAAATGAATTATTATAAATAAAAATTCAAATAAATAAATAAAAAATGAATAAAGACTTCCCTTTGGGCCAAGTGGTCGTGCACATGCCATGGATGATGATTTGTGGAAGAAAAATGGGCCCATTAGCAATTTTAGGTCATTTGCATCAATGTTGACTTTTCAAAATACCCAAAAATTTCCCAACTTCTACAAGGAACAACTTGCTCAATTTTTAAGCTTTTCTCATGTTCTTGGACATTTTGGAAAGGTCTTTGAGTCCTCTAACCAATGTCTTTGGTCCCATGTCATTTTGATTTACCAATCTCAAGTTATGGCCTTTGACTTAAAGTCCCTTTTTGTTGACTTTTGAAAATGACCTATAATGTTGAAATTGATAACTTTTTGTGAGAGAATTTCTTGGACTTGAAGTATGAAGATGAGTTGTAGGAAATGTCTTTCTCTTCAAAATGAGCTTTGGATGGAATTTTTCTGATAATCCATGTGAAAGTTATGCCCTGGTCAATTTACAGTTGACTTTTTCAACTGTCCAAATAAGGAAACTTTTGCATCTTGATGATTTCTGAGCCAAACTTTGAGAATCATGATCAAGCATTGATAAAATGATGTTTGTGGCTTCAAAATGATATGTTGACCAAAAATTTGAACTTTTGACTGTCAAATGACCATTTTGCCCCTACAGTTGACTGTAGTGCAATTAGGGTTTTTGACTGTGCAATTTTGTGCTGAAAGCCTTGAAACTTGGTATGAGGATGCTTGACCATATTTGTAGGCATATGAGACTTGATTGGACCTTTGGAAACTTCATTTTCTTGATCAGAACAAAAACCCTAATCTTGACTGTATAGGAGGCTCTTGCACTGTGCAACCCTTGGGGAACTTTGAAGCTTGACTTGGCATTTTCTTGAAGAATTATGGGAGGGAAAATTTTGGGGTACAACAGTTGCCCCTGTTCAATCTTCTTAGACCTGAGGATGCAGATTGGCTGACGTGCCTTTCGTAATCCGAAGGTAGAAGATGATTGAACACTAGAGTGCCCAGAAATTTGCGCTCACATAGTAGCAGTGTGATGATGGGAATGGGCTTATAGATGCCATTTAGAGGTTGATGAATAGGATGATGGGCTTATAGATGCCATCTGGATGTTGATCGCGTAAGAGATTCCTTAGCGAGAACTTGCGTACCTGCAAAACAGAAAATGAGTACCTAACACGTTGCAGGAGCTGATTTTTAGATGCTTGGTATAGATATGTCCTGACTGGTTACAGGAGCTGGGTCTGGAGCTTCACAAGATGATGAATGAACTAGGGATGGTTACTACCTTAGCATGAATGGTAAGAGAACC